GGTTATGGCTGCCTATTCAGTTGTTAAGGAAATGTGTGGTGCTCATATGCTAGCCCCACCCTTTCCATCATTGTGTTAAACATGGTGATGCAACTGCCTGAAGAAGGGTTGTGTACACTGGGAGCAATTCCCCCCTGGGCCTACTTGAGAGGGGCTGGACTCAATGACCCCTTACAGTCCCTTCCAGCTCTGCAGTTCTAAGATGATGATGATGAAGCTCTCTTCAACGTGTGTGGGCTTCACAGTTCGTTAATGACTAGTACAGAAATGACTACTGGAAGTAGCAGTTCAAAAGTAATTTTTTCCCCATCTCTGTATTCATACTGCCATTTCACCACATGATCACAGGCAAGTGCATGGAAATGCTTGCATGGGGGGAAAGCATTCTGTTGCTTACTTTGAGTCTAGAACTCTGATATGTTAAAAAAATAATTGCTGGCTAATCTCACAGGTACTATGAGGTTCCCCTACACCTCATCTCAAATGAACAGCTACACTGAGCTACTTGGAGAAGAGCAGAATATTGTAATGTATTGAAAATACTGTCCTAACTCCACCCATGTGCTGGATTAACACTTTCAGCTTTGTCCTCAATGGGAGATGGTGTATCAACTAAATAACTTTTTTTCAGGAAGCCACTGACTCCTTTGAAACCAACACCAATTTTTCGATCCCCAAATCCATATTTTATTCTTAGATGTTTTAATGACATTTTATTGAAGGTAATTTCATTCTACCATTAATCAAAATGTGTGCTTTATACATTGCAGTAATGCTGTTGACTATGTAGATCATGAAACACCATGAATCTAAAAGAAACAGGTGTGACATAGCATTTGATTGCCCTGATACATAATTATGCTCTGGACAAGTGACTACTAATAAGACAAAATGTGGACAAGCAGTATATTTTCAAATTGATGAAGATGTCAGAAACGGGTGTATTTTATCTCCCTACCTGTTTAATCCACATGCAGAATGTATCATACAAAAAATTAGATTAAATCATATTAGGAAGAAATTAGTATCTGCAGAAGAAATATCAATTTAAAATGTGCAGATGATACCAGATTACTGTCAAAAAACAGGAACTACCTGAAATAACTGCTGATGAGGGTTAAAGAAAAAAGTGCAAAAGCATTATTACAGTTCAAAACAGGAAATGAAATATAGCAAGAACAGAAGGCCTAGATAACTTTAATGAAGAAACCAAAGCTGTAACAGATTTGGTACACCCTGGGCACAGAAGGAACTGCCTGGAAGAACATAAAAACCTTCAGATGTTCAACACCTGTTAGCTGATCCTTCCACTCCATAACCACCAACATGAAATGGCACAAACTTAATTGGACAAGTTTATCGGTATGACTTGACAGTGGCATCCTAGTGGTCACTCATAACAAATGGGCCTGTGTTAGGGTCAAAAATAACCATAATCTCTGTTAACACAGCAGAATTGTCAACACCTAAAGAAGAGTTATTGCAGGCACATGATTGCAATATACTGTATATTGCATTCAACAAATACATAGAGATAGGCACAAGCAATGCCCCCAAATATCTAGCATAGGACTTACAGCTGAGAAATGTCTTAGACAGTATGGAAATGCAACACTAATCAAGCCTAACCTCCAAATATCATCTACTCCTGTCACAGAACTGGATGTAAAAGATATAGAGATAATAAGAGAGCTAAATAATCACACAATATCTCCATTTATAAACAACTTCATGTAGCTTTTTCCTTTAAACCCCCAACAATTTTCAGAAGCAAAAGATAAAGTTTACAGCTGGAGACATCACTGCCACTGCAGTATCTGAGGATATATATTTGAAGATAACAACAGACAAGCTGTACTAAAAATGGGTGGAAACATTCACAATAGCAAGCTTTCCCGATCTTTCAATATCAGAAGATGGCAACATGGCTGTAACTTGGACTTGATATTTGCTACATAGCCTATAGCCCAACAGTATGTGAAGTCAGTCTGTACACCAATTCCAGATACATAGCACAGGTCTATAATGTGCTGACTCAGAGTGGCAGTCCAACAATCAATAGGAACATTCTGCAGGAGTTAGTTTTCAAAAAAGCCAATTGGCAGAAATTCAGTATAACACTGGATAAAATCATATCAAACAGAGGCCTAGGACCAGATTGTCAGGGCAGTGAAAAGATCACCCCTATTCTCTATACTCCAAGGATTTAGAACCAACTACCTTCATTTTTTAATTTTTTTTAATTTTATTAGACTTACATACCGCTCATCTAGAACATGTCTACTTTGGGCAGTTTACACAAAATTAAAAAAACCAAAGATACAAATATAGTAAATGAAAACATAAATGCATTAAACCATGAGGCCCAATTTTACTACAAGAGTCCAAGATGGTAAAAAAAAGGGGGGGGGAAAAGAGGTAATGCTAAGTAATGGCTGTTGGGAAGGCCTGCTTGAACAACCAGGTCTTTACTTTGGTGCTCAAGACCCTCAGCAAGGGGGCCAGGAGGATTTCTGTTGGTAAGTTGTTCCAGAGATGGGGGGCCACTGCCGAGAAGGCCCTTTTTTTTAGTTTTTTCCCTTCGGGCCTCTCTCGGAGTTAGATTCCTCAACTGCCCAGCCTAGCTGGAATGGGTGGAACGAGCAGAACTAAGTGGAAGAAGGTGTTCTACCTTCAAAGCCTTACAATGGAAATAGTCACCCAAATGCATAATTATTTTTCACAGTAGGAACAAAATCCCTCAAGTGAAGAAACAATTTTGGCTGGGTAGTGATTAATTTCCTTAGTATAAGAAACTAAAAGAGACTTGGCCATGGAAGCTCACTCGAGGAGTGGAACCAGTAAAACCACTCCTTAAATATCTCACTTACCTTCAAAGCCCTATTGGGGCCGCTCTAAGTCAGTTCTGACTTGATGGCACAAAACAAAGAACCCACAGACCCAAAACAATTCAGGCCAATTTACAACAGGGCCAGCTTGCAAGCAGTACACCTTACTTGGGAAAATCCATTTCTCCCTAAGCTACTGTGGAGGTTGAGGCCAAGGTCAGAAAGGAACAAGAAAGGGCAAGGGGAAGAAATGGCAGATGATGCCATAGGTCCTGCTATTTAGAAAGCCCCTAGACTTCAGCCCCCCCTAGTCTTAATTCCACTCCACCGCTGCTTTCAACTTCTGTATCCTTCTCACCCAGGGACTGTCAATGACCACTAGCTATCAATGGTAAGATCCTCACAGTAGGAAGTTTTGCATTTATATCTCCATCCATAAATATCTGTCTACTAAAGCTACACTCTGAATGTCTGAAAGCTTATACGAACTAAAACAATGGTCTTTAAAGTGCCACAAGATTTTTTTTTTGTTGGTTTTGTTTTAACTGGCCAGCATGGCCACCCCTTGGAAATTTGTTTTCCAGGGTCAGCCTTGCCATTGAGCAGTGAGGCAGGCAGGCACCTCAGGCAGCTTGACAGGGTAAGAATGCTCGTGATATTTTCTACCTCCTGCCAAAATGGCTGGCTTTGAGTACTATGAGATGGACGACATGTGTTGCTCCTCTATCCCAGATAGTAAAACTTTGGGGGCTGGTTCTGTTGTTTCCCCCTCCATCTCACCTAGTCCAGCCTAGAGACTACACTTCAGTGTATACAGAGTCTTGATTTTTGTGCTGATTTGTGCAAATAATACCAATTGAAACCTTGGAGAGGGCAAGGGTCAGTTGTCTCTCACTGACAGACTGAGGCATTTTTAAGCCGCCGTCCCCCCACCCCCGCCCACAGCTAATTGGCGGGTTTATGTCAGAATTAATAAAGGTGCCTAACAATTTCAATGTGTTAGAAATTCATGGACCTCCCTCCTTGTGGGCACAGTATGTGATAACCAAACGTGGGTTTTATTAATTCCCATATGCAATCAGTTGGCATCCCAAGGCCCTTGAATCCGGTGAGTATATCTGATTGGAGTGCAGCGCATCCAAATGTACCCTTCATCCTGCTTCTTCATGCTGTGCATGTTCAGAGTGTTTTGCAGTAATACCATAAGCCCCTACAAACTCGCAGCGTGATAGGAAGGAGAAAAGTAAGAAATGGTCCCTCGTGTGCTGCGTAGCTTGGAGCAAGGTGCTGAATTTGAACTGCTCTTGTCCGCTGACCCAGAATCAGAATGAGAGCTTATTTTCATTTTCTTGAAACATTCTGCTGAATAAACAGATACTAAATCACTAGAGAAGCATCTGAATGAGGCACCATATCATTGAAAATGTTGACAAGCTGGGGAGGAGGGGGCCATATATGTCACCAGTCAGGTAAATGCTTATCGGAAGTTCTTACATGGCCATGCATCCTCTATAATGATTAGCAGAGAGTCCTAATTATTGGGGTGCACAAACATGTTTCTATGACCAAAGGAGCAACCCCCCCACTGGTAAGGGTGCTGCACTATATACACTACCAGCAGGGCTTAATTAACTTTGGTATTATATAAATTGCTGGCATTAATCCCTATAAGATAGTTAATGACGCATGCATCTAATTATCACTAGAGGTAATGTAAGTAGTGTGTGTCTGGTGGGGTTATCATCTCCCCAAGCAGCTCCATTCAAAGTGCACACCAGTGCAATAATGAAAAAGGAGACTACCAGAGCTATTCTCCGAAGTTACCAGCGGTGCTTTTTTTGGTCAGCCACGAGCAATTATCTTCTGGCATCATTTTTCAGGACCAGGGACATCCACCAGAGCAACAATGAAATATATCATGGTCACCCCATCTTTTTATTTATCTATTTAAAAGTGTTTTTGGGCTGCCTCCCAGTGGGACATATAAAGGAAAAGGGACAAAATAATCACAATACAATACAACAAAATCAAATAAAGGCTAGGGCCATGCCAACAATTTATCTCATGAGCATTTTAAAGCATTCTCGTTCAACTGGACAAAAAAGACATTTCTTTTGAAGGAGAAATTTTGGAGGAACTCTCATCAGCGAGGTTTGGGATATGTACATTTACCTTACAGCAAGAGTGTGTGTGCACAGAGATGTACAGTCAACTTTGTGGCAGTGGGCAGTGTCCTATATTCCAGTTCAAACCCAGGAAAAGGCAAGCCTACAGGTTTTCTTCAGTTCAGGAAGTTTAGAGAAAGTGCAGTTATGAAGAAAGATATAATAAAAAGGAAAATGAAAACAGATGTAGTTCTTTCTTCTACCTTATGCTGTAATAATAAATTTAAAAATAGTACCTAAGAGATTCTAAACAATCCTGAATATAGGGTATCAAAACAGAAACTTTTTAAATGAGGAAACAAAACATGAAAATTAGAGGACAAGTTGTGAGAACCTCTAGATTCCTTTTCCCCCTGGAGCTGGACACATGGTCCTCCTCATTACCTGCTTTAAAGCTTACACAGAGGAAGCTATGGTACAACAACCTGCAACTGAAGTTTAATGTATCTAGGAGGGATTTCTGTACTGAGATAGATGTTGGTGATCTGAGTGTGGAAGAACTCTCTTTAGTTCTATTGTCGTGGACAGATCATTATCCAGTGAGGTTTATACTCACTGGAACACAGAGCCTCTGCAGGAGTGGGAGACTGATTAAGATGATCCACCCCAGGAAGCTGATAGATCCAAAGGGTTTCCTGATGGCTCTTGGGATGTTTCCTGTCACCTTGGCAAGTGATTCAGTTGAAGCCATTGTTGATCTCTGGAATGGGGAAATGGCCAAGGCACCAACAACTCAACCCCAAGCTGTAGTCTCTGGACACAGCCTTGGAGGAAGGACTGGAGCTAGCTAAATGCTCACCCCCAATTCTCGCCTCTGAGAATCTGTCCAGGAAGATATCATGGTCAATGTTATAAAAAGTCATGGAGATCCAGGAGGACCAACAGGGTCACTCAACCCCTGTCAGCCTCTCTTAGTTGGTTATCATGTAGCGCAACCAGTGACATCTCAATACTGCACCATGGCCTGAATCCAGACTGAAATGGATCAAGGCAATTGTCCTTTTCTGGGTATATCTGGAGCTGCTCCACCACCACCCATATTCTCTTCACAGCCTGAAGAAAGAGAATGACAACCATTTTTTTAGTTTGCTTTGTAGAATTTGCACAACACTTTGAAAACAAAATTGCTTGGACCCACTCTGACTTGGATACTGTAGTTGATACAAGTCAAATTAATGTAACGATGGCCCCTGCTTGTCCTTTGACCCAGCAAGAAAAGCTTGTAATCCAAGAACTATGTACACCAAAATCTCTTGTACTGACATAGAAAATGCCAAGTAGCACCTCAGGAATCTGCCTGTTGTTTCACATTCTCCTCAACAAAGAATATCTCAGAATACTGTTTGTTTCCTTGTTTAAGGGGGCCAAGACCCACCTGGCTTGCGTATATAGCTAGGCCAAGGCTGCTGACCTTGAGAAGACTCAGATTTTCCATTCAACATAAATGTCGCATTTGAAGTAGGGGAAGTCCAAATTCACTATGCATTTGCCCTTGCATAATTCTGACTGCACAAAGATTATAGTGACTCTCCCTATACCGATTTTTATTACAGTGGTGCCTCGCATTACGATGTTAATTCGTTCCAGTGAAATCGCTGTAGAACGAAAACATCATAAAGCGAAATTAAAAAGCCCATAGAAATGCATTAAAACCCAGCGAAGATCCTCCATAGCGCGGCCATTTTCGCTGCTCGTGCAGCGAGGAATCCGTCCCTGAAAAGAGAGGGGAGCCATTTTTTTTTACCCAGCAGCCATTTTGAAACCACCAATCAGCTGTAGGAAAATTGTCATTTTGCGAGAATCGGTTCCCAAAGCAGGGAACCAATCATCGCAAAGCGAAATATGCGATTTCGTTGTAAAACAGAGCGCTCATCTTGTGAGGCACCACTGTATTTAGAAAAAAACTAGTGAGGTTCCTAAAGAATCATTGTTTCTATCCAATCCCAAATTCTGTCCTGCCTTTTTACATCTACATTATGTATCTCTTTCTCATCCCAGAAGTCTATTCATATGGAGTGGGTCCAGCTGAGGGAGCTGAGCTATGATTTTCAGAAGACAAAATCCTCACTGTGCTCTTCATCGTATTACTAATTATGATAGTTTCTATGCTTATATTTGGTCCTGTTAAGATCAGATGTTCCCTGAGGCAAACAAACTCTGTTTAAACAATAAGTAGTTCAGTATTTCTTTGTGAAATTTACCTGTGGTCTGGTGAACTTTTTGACATTTGTAAATAGTCCTACAATATCTCTGAGCACACATAGCATAGTAATCATGGTAACCAACAAGTTATTTGCTTTTTACATTGTTTCTCATGACATGGGCCTCTGCCTTCAGAGCCACACTTACATTTCAGTGTGCTGTCTGGAATATAGCTAGTGACAAAACCATGTCCACCTGGGATGACATGATGTGATGCTAACAAAGACTGCAAAGATGACACCTGCCCGATATGTTTAGTGGCCTCTGGGTGGCTGTAGCAGCCATCACTTCTAATAGCTGCTACAGGCAGATACCAGACGTTCCCCTTCTAGTGCTGAGTACCTGCTCATTTTCCAGCATTGCCTGTACTTCTGAACACAGTAAAACACAACTGTTTTACTGTTGAGAAGTGAAAGTCTTCAGGGGTATTCAGAGACACCAATTGGTGGCACTCCATTGTAGGGTAGTGTTTTCAGTTGCAATGCTTATGCCTCACTCTCACCACCCCAGAACTGTGTTGCTCTATGGCAGAAAATATAATGCTACAGACATGTCTGACGTGCAGTAATTGCAGTATGATAGCCATCCCTAACTGGATGCCCTCCAGAGGAATCGGCTATGCTAGCTGTGTATGATGGCTGTGTACAATAGTCTAAATGTATAATGCAGGGAGTCTGCATTCTGTCAGTATGTAGCCTTCAGTCTCCAAACAAATGTGGCATGATACTGGGATGGCCCTGCCTTTTAATAGCTGACTCATCAAGATATACATCCAGAATGCCATGGTAATCATGATCATTATCCTTTTAGAAAGCAGAACAATGTCTGTAGCTGGCACAAAATGGAAAAAGGGCAACTATATGCTGCAATGCATATGGCCTTTTATCATTCACCCTGATCCTGTCAAACTTGCAGTCCACAATACTTTGTGCACTGTCATAGCCATCAGGTGGTATTTTTTTTACCGATGTCCTCTATCTCTACTCTGCATTTTTGCCATGTTAATTCCGTGTTAATATTTCCTTAGAAGCAAGTAAATCCCCACTGCAATACATCATATTTTAAAATGATTTTTACAGGTGTAGATTGCTTTTGGAATGCTATTCCCAGAATTCCCAAGGAAATATGATCATGCTAACTAGGGAATCCTGAGAATGATAATCCAAAAACACACCTGAACACCTACTAATATTATTTGCATTTAACATATATATTAGATATAATATTAATAGTATAATTCAAGGCTAAACATAGTCCATAAAAGCTGTAAAGTTAAAAATTGCCCTGCCTGTCCTGAGAATTTTTTAATACGTATAGTAAGGGATGCTATACCCACCACAGTAAGCAAGTCATAAGGTAAAGCACAGACAGGTCTCTGTTATTGTACATACTAAGTCATACACGGCAGTCAAGGTACAGAGAGCTTCCTTTTCCAGAGTATTTCCCACCTAACCATAACAAATGTACAAAGTAACTCTATACATGCATCTTCAGAAGCAGGTCCCACTGAGTTTAATGGGGCATACCCCACCAAGTAAATGGATATGGGTATCAGATTGCAGCCTTAGGAAAGTTTCCTGTTATGTGAGAGGGAAGGAAGGGGTAAAATCTCACAAGCTGCCCTAGATTCTAATGGTGCACAATTCTTACTGTCATTTGACAAGGGTATAACAACTGCCTAGACTGAAGAGGACTTCTCTCTTCAAGCAAATTCCATTTCCAGATCCCAGTGCAATAGCATCTCATGACCGCTGAACTGATTTCCCAATTTAAACTTTATTTTTCTTAAAATATAAATGTCCTATAAAGCATAGATGTGCGGTAACACATTCTTTCTGTAAGCTTTGTACAGCATTATCAAGTACTGAAAGTGCTTCCAGTGCATTACCTAGTTGTATTTCTGGAAAAGCCTTCTCTTCTTCAATAAAGCATAGATGTGCGGTAACACATTCTTTCTGTAAGCTTTGTACAGCATTATCAAGTACTGAAAGTGCTTCCAGTGCATTACCTAGTTGTATTCCTTCTAACTGCCCTGCAAAGTCAGCATTATTACCTTCAGTATTGCACCATTGTGGGTCAAAATAAGAACATAAGAAGAGCCCTGCTGGATCAGGGCAAGGGCCCATCTAATCCAGCTTCCTGTATTTCACAGTGGCACCACCAGATGCCTTTAAGAGCACAAGCGACAACTGGATACCTGTCTCCTGATACCCCCTCCCCTCCATCTGGCATTTTGAGGTACCTTCCTTTTAAGCCTGCATCCCATGGTACAAAATTTAATAATATAATGATAATATCAGCATCACATCGAATTGCTATGCATACAATACACACCCTATGCTACCTAGCATCATCAGCTAATTTTGAATGCATGGATAAATCAGTAGGTTTTGAACTGGTCCAGAAAATAATATTCAGTAGTACAGTATTCAGTTGGGAGACTTATTGACTCAGTGGGATTTACATAAGTGTAAACTTACCATCCAGCAATTGATTCAGGGGCCTACTCTTAGCATGGACTAGCAACATCTAGCCGCCTAGAGTGGTCTTTTAGACCAGATGGGTGGGATATAAATCAAATAAATAAATAAACATGATGTCCGTCATGCTGTGTCTGGATTCTAAAATAGGCTGGATGGCATCCCTACAAGGCGGGTGAGCCTTATATTTGGGAGCTGAGTGTGCCACATGGCCTAGACAGGGTTGTGCTCCCCGAGTTCAGGAGCTTTGCACTTGCCAAAAGGGCTCTTTCTTTACATATACAGTAATTTCGAAAGGGACACATGTAATTTATTCTGCAACTATTGCCATAGAAAAGGATGGGGGAAATGGACTCTTGGCCTGCAATTCCCATTCCACCCCAGGAAGCACAATTACTACTGATGCATGACGGGAGTGGAAGTCCAATAGTATTTAGAGAGGCAGGAACTTCCCAGCTTTGCTATAGAGCAGGGGTCTCAAACTCAATTTACCTGGGGGCTGCTGGAGGCAGAGTCTGGCTGAGGCTGGGCCGCATCAGATTTTCCACCAAGCGGAGCAAGAGCCCGAGGAAGCCACCCAGGAGTTTCCTTAGCCCGGCTGGGGCTCCGAGGAGGAGGGGGGGCGCCAGCCACAACTCCCTCTGGCTGCTTCT